AGGCAGGGATGAGGGGCCAAATTCTAGGGAACTGTGTAAGTGCCTTCAGAACCGGAGCAGCTGTCCAGGGCCTCGTCTACACCCTGTATATCTGGATACCCACGGGCTTCTGCTCTGTTGCCCACCCCGAGGAAGGGAAGGGAGTATGGGTGGCTGAAAATAAAGGGATTGAATGAAAGCTGGGACCTCCACACTCTTCCCTGCCCTGTCTCACAGTGCCCGCAGCCAGGCCTGGGCAGCCCCAGCAATGGATTGGGAGATTCCTTCCTTGAGAAATCAAACCGCGCCAGAAAAAAATGCTCCAGATCCTGAAATGTGCGTGTCCCTCATTGGAAATCTTGGCACCTTTCCACGCCCATTACTTGAAGCTCGCTAGCTAATAACTCCGCTGCACACACACAGAGCCTCCAATCTGCTTTTAGGAATTCACTGCTAAACAGGATTGGGCAGCTAAGGATCCCAGTCTTCTTAGGAAAGGTTTCAACATGAAAGAAAGGACCAAAACAAACCAGAAAGGAGAAACCTTACAGCAGATGCAGATACAGCAGAAAGCAGAAAAAACTTACTTTTTTGAAAAAAGTTACAGTTAGTATCTCCCAAGGGAGAGAAGCTATCTTATGTCTAAAATGAGAATAGCGTTTATGACACAGGAACACTTGGAGAACAAAAAGGAGGTAAGGGGGATGATAAATACTTGAATTTTTTAAAAAGTTGAGGATGTAGCTCTCAAGTAGAATTAAAAGGACAGAATTGAGAAGTGGATAAGAAAAGAAAATTGAAACAGCCTAATAGATACTAATATATTACATGCAAAGGCCAAAACAGGTCTCTGAACATTATCAGAGAAATAATAAGAACGTTTCATAGAACTGATGACATGAATTTCCAGATTGAAGAACTACATTAAACGCCCATGTTTTATAAAAGTGCCCAGTCTTACAAAACCCTCATTCATATACATCATGGTGAAATTTCAGAAGAGCAGAGACAAAGAGAAGGTCCTAAAAACTGTGGGAGAAAAAGAAGCAGGGCACACTTGGAAGAAAGGATGTCTTAATAGTAGAATTCTTAATAGCATCCCTGGAAGCTACAGGATAATGGAAGTAATACTTTAAAAAATTGGAGAGAGGGGCGCCTGGGTGGCTCAGTCGGTTAAGCGTCCGACTTCAGCTCAGGTCACGATCTCGTGGTCTGTGAGTTCAAGCCCTGCGTCGGGCTCTGGGCTGATGGCTCAGAGCCTGGAGCCTGCTTCCGATGCTGTGTCTCCCTCTCTCTCTGACCCTCCCCTGTGCATGCTCTGTCTCTGTCTCAAAAATAAATAAAAACGTTAAAAAAAATTAAAAAAAAAATAAAAAAAATAAAAAATTGGAGAGAAATTTATTTCTTAGAAAAATTGTTTTTAATAATTTATTTTTTTTGAGAGAGAAGCAGAGCGCGAGCAGGAGAGGGGCAGAGAGAGAAAGGGAGACACAGAATCCGAGGCAGGCTCCAGGCTCTGGGCTGTCAGCACAGGGCTTGCAGGGCTTGAACTCAGGAGCCATGAGATCATGACCTGAGCTGAAGTCAGACGCTTAACCAACTGAACCACCCAGGCGCCCTGAGGGAAAATTATTTCTAACCTGGATTCTAAATCCAGCTGGCCTATCAATCAAAAGTAAGCATAGAATAAAGACATTTTTCAAAGTACAAGGACTGAAAAAGTTTACTCTCTTGGGTCTTTTCTTAAGAAGCTACTCAGTTGTGCTCTGTCAGACCAATTGGGTAAACCAAGAACAAGGAAGGTCCAAAACTTAGGAAACAATATGGTGCAGAAGGAAGAGAGTAACCAGACCTTAATAGAGAGCAGGAGGATTGGCGGCTGCACCAGGGTTTGAAAAGGGCACCAGATCATCTAATATGTTGGTTATTTGAAAATGAATACAGGTAAGCATCTAACATGTCATGTAGCAGATGAAAGAATTTAAGGTTAGGTATATTGAAATGAAGGCAAGTGCAAATAGCAATCACATGTTAACTCTAGAAAAGTTAAATATTTTAAGGAGAGATGGCCATAGTTTTCAGTTTGGCTCTTTAATGAATAAACATTTATATAATCATAACAGTATATATTAAAGTAATATAAAAATATATTATAATAATACAAATATAAATAATATTGAGAAGCTAGCAGAGTGAGAAATTGGTATGTATGGTGTGTCCCATATGTAAAAGGGATACAAAGTTGCTGCGAGGCGTAGTACTGAGCAACATGGAGGTGTATACCAGAGAAACAGCTAAAATTTGCAGTTGGTTTCCTCTGGGGACTGTGATCGGGATGGGGAACGGAGGCTGAAGAGGCCAGGTTTTCATTATGTCTTGTTTTATTTTGATTAAAATGAAATCACTTAATTCTGTTAGTATAACTCTGAAAGTAAAAGTAGGCATAATGACATAATTGGGATTGGTGACTTAATAATGAATTTGCAGATGAATATACCACTCTAAATTGTTCTTCTTTGTAAAATTGGAGGTGATGACATCTAACATATTTAGCATTTAAAAGAATAGTCACCAGCAGAAGTGACAGCACCATGCTAGTAGGAGACCGCTACATCCAGGAAGACTTAAGGCAAATTGAAAAGATGAAATAAGTAAGGATGTATGATAGCTGAATAAATAATTGCTAAAGTTGTATGGATGTATTTTGAATTCCATGCTTTAAAAAAGAGACTATGTCCATTACCCATTAAATGTTGGCAAAAATTGTCCCTACAGAGGAAACCTCAGTACATTTAAAAAGGAAGGAATAATAGAAGTTTAATTTCCTGGCTACAGTGCATGTAGAAATTAACAACATAGAGAAATAAAGATCCTCTAAACCAAAACAACACAACAGCAAACATACTGGATGTGAAAAAACTTTCTGAGAAACAACTCATGGGTCAAAGAAGAAATCAAAACCACAACTTGAAACTATTTAGGAAATAATGATAGAAACATTACTGTGGTGGAAGTTATTGGCTGCTCTCCGAGTGTCTGTCTGCTTCTGCCTTTTTACTAACACCACGTTGATTTTTTTGAGTGTCAGTGACCAGCTAAAAATCTGTTCCCCAGTCCATCCTTGTACATGGGGGTGGCCATATGATCTCACCAATGAGGTAGATATAAAGTAATATTGATGGATGGGACTTTCAGGAAATCTCCTTAGAAAGGTTGACTCAGCTGGCCTGATAAACCTTTGGCATATGTGATGCTGGTTAGCCAATCATAAAGTGTCTAATACATGCTACAAGTAGATGACTGTAAAGGTAAAAGAGGTGTTGCTCAGAAATATCCTGCCATCCATTCCAGCCTTGGACTTCCTACCTCTGGGGGAAAAAAAAAATCCTAACTCTTAAGTTGCTATTTTGGGTCTCTTTGTTAGTAGAAACCAGCCCAGTTCCTAACTGACATAGATATCACAACTCATGGGGTATAATTAAAGAATGAAAGTAAATGAAGCACGCAAGTCATGAAATTGGAAACAGAAAAACAAAAGCAAAGGAGAGCAGAAGGAAATAATAAAGAACTAGAACTCAATAAGAAAATTAAAAAAGGAGGGGCACCTTGGTGGCTCAGTCAGTTAAGCATCCGACTCTTGATTTTGGCTCAGGTCATGATCTCATGGTTCAAGAGTTCAAGTCCTGCATCAGGCTCCATGCTGACAGTGTGGAGGCTGCTTGTGATTCTCTCTCTGCCCCTCCCCCACTTGTACTTTCTCTCTCAAAAATCAAGAAACTTAAAAAAAAATTAGAAAAATGATTGCTGTGTCTTGAGAACTAGTTGTTTAGGAGAATAATTATTAAAAAATATATATAGATACACATTTTATTTACACAAGAGACCGGTGAAGAAAGCACAAATAAAGACACTGGATAACTCGAGATATAAAAGAGATGAAATGATCTATGCTTTGTAAAAAAAAAAAAACTCTGTGCAAATAAATTTGAAAATGTGGATCTGATAGATGGTTTTCTCAGAAAATGTGCTGCCAGACTGAGTCCAGAATAGAAAGACAACTGAAAAAGGCCCCTAGCAGTGAAAGAAATGACACAGCTGTTCTCTGTGACCAGTTGCTACTGTTCTTCCTGGGGCTTCTTTGCTCTCAGAGTTCTTCAGGGGGTGGAAGTGATTTCTGGTGGGAGGTCTCTGAGGGTGGGGTGGGCTGGGTGTCCTTCCCGGTCATCTGTGTGCGGTCTTTCTGACATGGTGGCCACACCCCACCAAAGGTGATGGCACCCGATTCTTAGCATTAGGATACATCACAAAGTAAAGGGCCCTGAGTCCTCAGTGTTTTATAACATTTTTCAGATCAATGTGTTACTGGAGCCCTTTTGGTAAGAAAAGATGATGAAGAGTTATTTTTAATCATTTTCTCTGATTGTCAGCCTCACAAAGTCAAAAATGTTTTAAATGTTATATCCAAATAAATAGTGATAAAGATTTCAAAGCAAGGCTGTACATAAAAAAGGTTGAAAGTGTTATTCCCACAAGAAGGTCAATAACAGTACGGGAGAAAAGAAAAATGGTGAGCATCAGAATTCCTTAGCTCTTAATTGCTCCGTGGAAAAGTACCTTGTTCTCAAATGCTGGTAACTGGAACATCCTATTGGTTAAAAATAAATAGCATAAAGTGGGAAGAAACCAACTAAGGAAAAAAACCCAAAGCAACCAGAACGGGCTGTCAACTAGAAACGGAGTAAGGAAGTTATGCCAAAGGCGTCAGGTTAGTATGCCAGCCTTCCGCCCAGAAACGGAGTAAGGAAGTTATGCCAAAGGCGTCAGGTTAGTATGCCAGCCTTCCGCCCAGAGGCCAGGGTTCATACGGAAAGGCCTGTTTGGGTGACCGTTTGGTTCTGAAGTGTCCTTGCTCCTTGTGTCTTCTTGAACTTGCCCCTCATAATCTTCATTTAAACAGATACGATTCGTACCTAATGCCCTCTTTTTACCTGTTTTTCCCTGGTAGCGAGAACCAGTGAACCATGGAGCTGTATTTCGGTGAATATCAACATGTGCAGCAAGAATATGGTGTCCATCTGAGACTTGCAAGTGATGATGGCAAAAAATCAAGAAATGCCCAGAACTCTAAGGCAGGCTCCTATGGTGTTAGTATTCGGGTACAGGGAATTGATGGCCACCCCTATATCGTCCTGAATAACACAGAGCGGTGTCTAGCAGGCTCGTCTTTTTCTGAAAACGGGCCACCATTTCCATCTCCAGTGATAAATAACCTGCCTCTGCATTCCAGCAATGGGTCTGTGCTAGAGGAGGACAGCGCAGAATTGCAGCTCCCAGAAAATCCTTATGCCCAACCTGGTCCTGTAAGAAACCTGAAACAATCCTCTCTCTTTGAGGGCAAGAATGGGGTTCTAGAAGGCAAAGAGGGGCCGGTGAAGCCATCTCACATGCTCAACTTTCAGCGGCATCCAGAGCTTTTGCAGCCCTATGACCCTGAAAAGAATGAATTGAACTTGCAAAATCACCAGCCTCCTGAGAGTAATTGGTTAAACACTTTAACAGAAGGTACCAACAATAAGAAGGCTTGGACATGCTTCCCCAAACCTAGTAGTTCGCAGCCTAGCAGCTCTCCTTTGGAAGATGTGGGCAAATCCAGCGTGACGGCCATTCGTTTGTGCAGCTCTGTGGTCATAGATGACCCCAAGAAGCAGACCTCAGTGTGCGTAAATGTTCAGAGCTGCACCAAGGAGGGGCTGGTAGAGGAGGCCCTTTCCCCCAGTGGTAGGTCCCTAACTGCCCACAGCCCACACACCCATCCCGAAACCAAGAAAGCCAGGCCGGACGTGCTTCCCTTCCGGCGACAGGATTCCGCGGGACCCGTCCTGGATGGAGCTCGGTCCCGGAGGTCCTCTTCCTCATCGGCAACTCCCACTTCGGCCAACTCTCTGTACAGATTTTTACTTGATGATCAGGAATGTGCCATCCATGCTGACAATGTGAATCGTCATGAAAACAGACGGTACATCCCCTTCTTGCCAGGAACTGGGCGGGATATTGATACAGGATCCATTCCTGGCGTGGATCAATTGATCGAAAAGTTTGACCAAAAATCTGGGCTCCAGAGGAGAGGAAGGTCTGGGAAGCGAAACAGAATCAACCCTGAAGACAGGAAGAGGTCCAGAAGCGTGGATAGTGCCTTTCCCTTTGGTCTCCAGGGGAACTCCGAGTACCTGAGTGAATTTAGCCGGAACCTGGGCAAGTCCAGCGAACACCTCCTCCGCCCGTCACAGGTCTGCCCGCAGAGGTCACCTGCTCAGGATCACCGTGGGAAACAGAGCGTGGGCCGTGCCTTCGCGAAGCTACAGGGGGCCCCCCTCAGGCCTCCCCAGCAGAGCAAAGATGGGAAAGTTCCAGAAACCAGAAGTGGTCGGGAGAGTACAAACACGCATGCATCTTCCCTCCCAGCACAAAGTAAAAAGGAGGAGGAAATCAAAACAGCCACTGCTACGCTGATGTTACAGAATCGGGTGCTAGCAGCTTCGCCTGACTCTGGTGCCAAGAAGATTTCTGTGAAGACGTTTACTTCCACCTCAGATACTCAGGTGATGCTAGTGGGTCCTTCTTTCTTTCCTTCTTTTTGCATTCCTTCTGCAGCCTCATGCTGCAGGAGGCTCTGGGAACACAGACCCTCTATCTTGAATCAGCAGTTGCATATCCAACATTGTTTTAGTTTTCCCCTGCAGAGTTTTCAACCCACTGCCAATTGTATGGTTTTCCAAGTCAGTTCAGTACACCGAGAATCCCACTGTGGTCTTGCCTGTAAACGGACTTGTCAGAGTACAGAGAGGCTTGATTTTTTTTTTTTTTTTGTCAGCCTATGTGTGAGACCTCAAAGTGTGCAGAGTTTGTTTTCATCCAGAGGTTCAGTGTTGAGGTGTGTGTAGATATACTGATTTTTCTCATGAAATTGAGCGACCGGGTTAATACCTGGCCTGAGGAATTAGGTTAATCCTAAAGTAATGGAATTTATTTAAGTGATATATTTAGTGTTTTGGTAGTACCCATAAAAAATAATGATAGTGATAAAAGTGCTAATAAGGGTGTTAAGTGCCAGCCATTATTTGTTACATATTACAGGACTGCACCAACTCTGTGAAGGTAGGTACGATTAGTCTCCATTTACAGGTGAGAAAATTGAGGTGAGGTAAAGTTAAGTAACTTGCTCAAGGTTACAGAGCTACTAACTGGTGGAGCCAGTTATAATGAGGATCCTTACCTGAGGAATTGTTTTTGGAAAGTAGGAAGGTGTTTGGAAGCTTCTGCTTCAGGGTTTCTGCCTGCTTCCTGGAAACTCCATCCTGTGATCTAATAACAGCCTTTATATTCCAGGCCACACCAGATCTGTTGAAAGGCCCGCAAGAGCTCACTCAACAAAGCAATGAGGAGACGGCCAAGCAGATACTTTACAATTACCTCAAAGAAGGGTTAGTGATATTCCTTAAAGGACCAAAGTATTGTCCTTTCTGGTGGGGTCTTGATTTTTTTCTCCTGAGACCTTGTGTTTTGCCTTGCCTTTCTGATCTGTGTGAACTATTGAGGCTTAGGACTCAATGGCTGGAGTTTTCGTAACAGTATTTGAGTCTTGGGTACTGAGTGTGAAGAGCAAGGGGATGATGAATATATGTGATATATATTTTAATTATTTTAAACCTGTACATCCAACGTGAGACTCGAACTCACGACACCAAGAGCAACAGCCACATGCTTTTCTGACAGGGCCAGCCAGGCACCCCTGTTTTTCAAATGACTTTTTCTTATTTAAAAAGAAGTTCAAAGATGGGAAGAATATCTACTCTTTGGTTTTCAACTAAGTCAGCCACCTTGAGTTCTTCATGCACAGAGTAGTAATCAATTATTCGCAGTTACAAACAAAACCACCTCCCCCACCCCCCGAGTTGACATTGGCCAGGAGCCCCTACTTCTATGATTTTTAAAGCATGTATGACTCATTTAAAAGAAGTGCTTTTCACATACTTATCTTGGAGGTTGAGTTTGAGTAATCTGGTTTTCAGTCCTTGCTTAGATACTAAGTCAGGAATTTGCAGTTTCTGTTTCCATTGTCTCATCGGATAGGATTAAAAAGGAAAAAAACTTTACAGCCTGATGTGACTGCAAGTCACTTACTTGAACAAGTACCCATTGGTATCAAAACCCTTCATATTTTTGCATCGTACCTTCCAAATATAGATCAGTAATACAAAGCTGACAAAATAGGTTCAGAGTATAAGAGATGGGCTTTTTTTTTTGAGGTGAGGGAGAGGTAGTAACTGAAGAGATCCTTTTAGCTAAGTAGTTCTTGGTGTCTCTCTCTGAAGGTTTTTACCATGTTAAGATTTAGGGAGAAGGACTTTTGATTTTTAGAATTCTTTCTCTAATTTTTTTTTTTTTTTTTTTTTTTTTTTTTTTTTTTTTTTTTTGCTCATGATTTATTGAGAGACTGGGGAGACAGACTTTAATAGGAGGTGGCTATTTAAGGAAACTTATTTAAAATTTTCCTAATTGCCAGGTATGTGTGATAGAAGGTGTGGTAGAAGTTAATAAAACTCTGATCATTACCTGTGAAAATGTAGACAGCTGCGGTGTTGACAGTCTTGGCCTGGGGGATATATTTTTTTTAAACACAGCATAAAAACCAGTTAAAATCACTGTAGATCATTCTTAGCATTAAGATTTAAAAGTAAAGTGTGTGACTGTGGGTTGTGAGAGAGAGACACACACAGAAGAAATTCCTTGCTGGAATGAAATCAGTCATTTGAGTCAAACAACATATTAGTAAATTTTCACTGTGTGTTTTCTCCAGGCTTAGAATGTGGGTATATCTCTTTCACATGTTTGGGAATAGGAACTCTTCTCCCAAATTGAGTGGTAACGTGTAACAAGGTGTTGGAAGAGAAATACGCCATCCATCCTGTTCTTCCCTCAGTGGTTTTGTCTGCAGCCTTAATTAATTCATACCTCTTGCAATTTATCTTCTTAAATGGCTTGTTTGTGTGTCCTGGCATCTGAAGTATCCTGAGAACCGTGCTTGTGCCCCTTACTGGTTTTTTTTTTTCTTCCTGCTGCCTGTTTTCCAGAAGCACCGATAATGATGATGCAACTAAACGGAAGGTCAACCTGGTTTTTGAGAAAATCCAGACTTTAAAGTCTCGAGCAGCAGGGAGCACACAAGGAAATAATCAAGTAAATTGGAGTTTTGTATTCTGTAGAGGGCATTTAACTTGGAATGTGGCAAACAAATTGTTGTTTCTTCAGCCTGTACATTTGGTTATGGCAGTAAGTGGGAAGTTACCCGAGTTGTGAGCAGGACCTAAGATGGAAGACCATGCTTTAAATATTATTATTATGCACCAACTTTTTTTTCAGAAAGGTTTTAAGATATTTTATTTTTAAAAATAGCATATTGGGGCTCCTGGGTGACTCATTTGTTTAAGTGCCTGACTTTGGCTCAGGTCATGATCTCATGGCTTGAAGGCTACTGAGTTCGACCCCCAGGTCGGCCTCTGTGCTGACAGAGCCTGTGTCTGTGTCTCCCTCTGTCTCTGCCTCTCTCTCTCTCTCTCTCTCTCAGAAAAAATAAAAGTTAAATTAAAAAAAAAAAACCAATAACAAGACAAACAGGTGGTGAAACAAATAGGTAGTGAAATTTAGAAAGAGAAAATAAAAATAGGAAGAATGGGGCATCTGGGTGGCTCAGTCAGTTAAGTGTCCAACTTTAGCTCGGGTCATGATCTGATGGTCCATGAGTTCGAGCCCTGCATCACGCTCTGTGCTGACAGCTCGGAGCCTGTGACCTGCTTTGGATTCAGTGTCTCCCTCTCTCTCTCTGCCCCTCCCCCGCTCATGCTATGTCTCTGTCTCAAAAATAAACAAACATTAAAAAAAAAAAAAAAATGGGAAGAATGACTTGAAATCATGGATGGAGAACCCTAACATATTCCAAGGTTTTGAAGGAAGGTAAGTGTGAACTGGACCCAAGCTCTAGAACTTCAGAGAGTCAGAAATAAGAGGATGAGAACAAGAGAATAAGAATAGAGACTGGTGAAGTCAACCCGCATGGGTGGGAGAGAAAGGAAAGAATGGATTGGGGCCAAATTCTTAAAAAAAAAAAAAAAAATTCCTATTTATTATACTGAATTCCAGTTGGGACTTGGAGATTTTTTGTTGTTGTTAGAAGAGTCCTCTCATATTTGATGAACATCTGCTACATGTCAGACACACCTTGTGCCCTGAGAGGAAGCAATATTTAAGAGGGATGACTAAAAGCTTGTTCCTTAACCCTGCACCACCTGAATTGACATCCACTTGTTGCTTGTGTGTCTTCTCTTTCCCTCCTGGGGAATTCTGCATGGAAAGGAAAGAAAATGCCAGAGACAAGTCACAGGAAGTTTGTCTATAGCTTCTTTGTAACTTTGGAAACATATGTATACGATGTTTTTAGGCATCAGCTACCCTCTTCTCTCTACTGTTCAGCACTCAGCTAACCCATGACTGCTGTTATGATATCCAGTAGAACAGTTACATACATACATTATTCGCACGGGGGAATCTTTTAATTCTATACCATGCTTATAGGCAAGCTTCAGGGGTTCTCCATAGTTCTTACAATTGAAGTGTTTTGCTAAAACTCTTAAATCCAAATTATCGCTGTGAGTCTTGCTTTTCACTCACTGGCATATTTTTTGGGTGAGAACATACATCTTTGGTCTTGATGTTGAGACTGTGTTTGTGGGCACAGACTAAGGGGATCTGGATCAAACTAGGGAAGTTAGGTTAAGCCCTTTAGAATCCAGGACACTAATGGTGTCTCAAAAGAGTAAAGAACGCTCTGGGAGAAGAAGGGAAGGCAGGGCGTTCTAGGTAGAGGGACCAGCATGAACAAATATAAACAGGTGTGTGTTTGCTATGTTTAGGGGACTGGAGGTAGTTTAATGTAGCTGGAGCAGAGAGCCAGGATATGGGGAGGAAGTGCCAGGTAGAAAGGACCTTGGATATCACATAAGTTTCCATTTTAGGCTGAAGGTGATGGGCCATCATTGATGGACTTTGAACAGGAATGAATAGTGTCATATTTGTAGAAATTTATTCCTTTTGCAGCTTTTGGAGAGAGGTAAGGTAAGAGGAAGGGAGATCAGTTAGGCTGCTGGCGCATGAAGCCAGAGATGATGAGATGAACCATAGCTCTTCGACTTCTGGCTGAGATCACAGCACCATGACTGCTGAATTGCCCATACTTTTCTACTCTCCATCTCTCCCTGTTATTTCTGAATCTGATTATCTGCAGGCAAAGGCTTGGGAGTTTTATCTTTTTGGTGTCAGCTAAGTGATTTCCTATGAGAGAAGAAAAGACCATGTTGGAAACAGCAGAGCAGGTAGAGTTTTCATTTGGGCAAGAACAATGTACAATTTCTCATGAGTTGGATTTAGATTTCCATATTGGATTGTTCTCATTTTGCTTAAGGAAATAGGAAGTCCTGTGTTTTTGTTGACTGTTGGGTTCAGTTAACTTCACAGGAGTAAGTCAGGAAGTACCTCGTTCCAAGTTCATTATACACAGCTCACACCTGGATTCAGGTGCAGGAGAGCCAGGACATGGCATTTTCTAGCTTCATTTCCTGACTCCCCTTTGTAGTTTTCTAGCCACTTTGCTATAGGATTTTAGCCAAATCCTTTTGAGAGCATCTCCTGTTATTGTATCCATGGAAGAAACAAAAAGAGATCATTAATATTCATACTCATATCAGAGATGATATTTTCTAATAGGCTCTCTTTAATCAGATCCCTCTTTGTTATATCTGTCTTCATTATGGAAATGTAGCATCCAAAAGAAGAAAGCCATTGTAGCTAGCATCCGTTTATTTATTAATTGTATACAGGCATATGCAGAGAGTGAGAAAATTTCTGGTTATGGAGCAGTAAGTCCCAATGTCATGGAAGTTCTGTAATAGATGGATTGTGTGAAGGGCCTCGGAGACACGGAGACATGGGCTTTGGGTATAACTTTATGCAGTGGATGAATCTTCAACAAATATTTATTTTTATCTTTTTATATTGTTCTATTGGCATCTGACTCATATACAGTAAATTGCACAAATCTTAACTGTGTAGTTTATTGAGTTTATTTTATTATTATTATTTTTTTAACATTCATTTATCTTTGAGACAGAGAGAGACAGAGCATGAACGGGGGAGGGTCAGAGAGAGGGAGACACAGAATCCGAAACGGGCTCCAGGCTCTGAGCTGTCAGCACAGAGCCTGACGCGGGGCTCGAACTCACGGACCGCAAGATCATGACCTGAGCCGAAGTTGGCCGCTCAACCGACCGAGCCACCCAGGCGCCCCTATTGAGTTTTTAACAGAGGTGTGTGTCCATGCAGACACCACCCAGATGAAGATACAGAACGTTCTGATCATCCCCAGAAAGTCTCCTTGCGTCCCTTTCTCTATAGGGATTTACATTTGAATTGGATCTTAAGATTTTGGTGTTACTGCTCAGATTGTATTTTGGGAGACGGAGAAAATAAAGCATCTTGAACATTTACATTAGAGAATCTTTGCAATAATTATAGGCTTCTAATTCTTCGTCTGAAGTCAGAGATCTGTTGGAACAGAAAAACAAGTTGACCACAGAAGTGGCCGAACTTCAGAGACAGCTTCAGCTAGAAGTCAAGGTACCTGTTTTTTCCTTTGTTATTATTAACATTTCTGTCTTGCTTGATAATATTTTAAGCACATTGGGATGCCCAAGTGAAGTGAAAGTCAGGTTTTTTTTGTCCCCAAAAGAAACATTCCTCTCACTGCTGAGTAAAAATTCCTGTATATTTGGCTCCTGCTGTCCAGAGAAATTTTTATGTTTCTATTTTTTAAGTAACCAAAGCATTATAGACACCATTTGCTCTGACAGAGTGAAACACTGTTGGATTCAGGCAGGCCAGTAGGAAACTTAAATGCATATAAAATACCCAAACTGAGTGATAGAAATAGCAGACCAAGGTTTAGCTGTCTTCATAGTTCTTTTAGACATATTACAGCTCATTCAATATTTAATATTCTTTCCAGTTGCAAAGTCCCATGTGAAATGATGTAGTTTGATTAAGTTTTCTAATAAGTAAATGCAAAAGCCATGGAGTCCATCAGAGTTTCGAGGTAATCTGTGGGATTGCGTTAATGTTGAGTGGAGGTACTTTCAGATCACATGTATTTATATTAGAATCAGCAGAACATCAAGGAAGAGAGAGAGAGGATGAAAGCAAACTTGGAAGAGCTCCAGGGCCAGCACGACAGTAAGGTGGAAGAGAACTCCATGCTGCAACAGCGACTAGAAGAAAGTGAAGGGGAGCTCCGGAAGAACCTGGAGGAGTGAGTCCCGGGCCAAGAGCCTCTGCCCTTCCTGGGTTCTTGCATCCCACGTAGCCAGAATCTTTTTGTCCGTTTAATACCAACCAGCCTTCCAGATGTTAATAGGGGCTGCTGACCCTTCCTGTTCTCCCTCTTAACCTTTTAAAATGGAGAAACTGGTGACACATGCAGAAAGGTTAATAATTAAAAAAATCTTTATATACCTTAAAAAATGCCTTGTCAAGTTTCAGCCCCTTAGAGTGGCTCTTCATAGCAGATAAGTGAGAAGCAGGGAATACAGAGTATTGATATCTAAAGACAGAGTTCTTGAGGGATCTGGACCCAGCCTCTAAAAAGCACATCATATCACTTCTGTAATCTCCTAGTTGGTGAATTTTCTCCTGAGTGTTGCTGACCAGTGCTTATGCATCTGTTGAGTCTGTGGAGAGGGAAAGTCAAAGCCAAGATGGCCCTGTCATTATGTCATATTAAAAGCTGCAACAAAAGGATCTGAAACCAGTGTCCGAAAATGTACAATGCTATGAAGCTCTGTGGACATGGTGGAAACCTTAAGTGAAGGTTTAAGTGGGGTTGAAATCTAGAAGGGAATTCAAGAAAAATAAGACATTATATAATAAAATCATTTAATTGCCCTTGCTATTTTGATGATGTAGTTTCTGTTTTTAAAGCATTCTTAGAGGTTAATTCCGGAAGAATTGATGAGAAAAAAGCAAAATTTAGGGTATAGTAAAGACTTTACAAAATAAAAAGGTAAAACAGTTGTCAGTTTGATTTAGAGCAGAGGTTGGCAAACTTTTTCTGTCAGATAGTAAATACTTTATGGTTTATGGGCCATATGGTCTTTGTTGAACCCACTCAGTTTTGCCATTGTATTGTGCAAATGACCATATGCAATATATAAATGAATGAGCATGGTTATATTCTGATAAAACTTTATTTACAAAAATTGGCTGTGGGCCAGATTGGCCAATAGGCCATGATTTGCCAGTTCTCCTGGGGCTGGGGGTAGGGTAGGGTGGGAGGTAGGGAATAGGGTGGCTTTGGTGAAGGCATTATCAAAGAGGTTGTGCTTTTTGGGGGTCAATTTCTCATCTTATTGTCTAAATTCCAGGACCCTGTGGTTTCCTTCTGGGGAGAAATGGTCACTGTATAACCTTTCCCATTACATTGGTTTGAGTTCTCATTTGTCTTCTTGTTAGGCAAGTTAGACTGAAGTCATGAGTTCTCACCAGTGCCTTTTCTGGTTTGTGATGCCTTGTTCAGTATAGAATGGACAACAGAGGAGGCTCTTTGGGGCTTTAGATGACTCTGCTTGACCATCCTAAGGTCCACAATCAGACTGGATGAAAAAAAAAAGCTGGGCCCAGGAGAGTCTCTCTAATGGGTTTCCTTCCCTGCCAGACTGTTCCAGGTGAAGATGGAACGGGAACAGCACCAGACTGAGATCAGAGATCTTCAGGACCAGCTTTCAGAAATGCATGATGAGTTGGACAGTGCTAAACGATCCGAGGACAGGGAGAAGGGAGCTCTGATTGAGGTAAGGGGGACTGTGGGATCAGCTGATATGAAAGCATCTACCTGGAGAGGATGGGATGGGTGGAGGTGGGGCAGACTGGATACTATGAGCCATAGTCTGTTACGTGTATTTGCTGCACTGTGCCTATGACTAGATTCCATAAAAGCATCACAGTATTATTTCCTTCTAGATTAATAGTTTTTAAACCTTGTCTTAGGAAAAATTTCAACCATACAGTAAAGTAGAAAGAGCAATTTATGAACTCCCATGGAGCTCCAACCCAGATCCAACAGTCGTCAACATTTTGCCATACTTTTACCATTTCTTCATCTGTCCCTTCATTTATCCCATTATTTTTTCATCTGTCCATTTGTTTGTCTTTGCTGAATCATTTCACAGTTGATTACAGATAATACCACACTTCACTCCTAAATTCTTTGGCATGCATCTTAAAAAAATTAGGGAATTTTGTTATAACCACAATACTATTATCATGCCTAAAACAATAATTCCTATAATATAACAATAATGCTAATACCTGGTCCTTACTGAGAATTTACCAGTTGTCCCTCAAGTATATTTTATAGTTGTTCCTCCATACCCCAAGCCAGGATCCAACCTAGAATCCCATATTGCTTTAATTGTTTTCTCTCTTTGAGTTTGTCTTTGTATAGATTTTGGTGCATATTTCCAGCTTTCTTCCATTCCATTGGTTTTTGGAAGAGACCAGACCAATGGCCCATATTTTGGATTTGTCCGATTGTTCCTTATGGGGTCCATTAACTTGTTCCACTATCTTGTGCGTTGCCAGTAAATTTGAGGTTAGATCTAAACACTAACAGATTCGGGTTAAACTTTGGGTAAAAACACTTTGTAAGTAATACTAATTATGAGAAAGCATTTTAAAGATGTTAGTGCCCATACAGCACTTATCACAGTTAAGTTTTTGTTTAAGGCTCCTACAAGACTGTAAGCTGTAGGAGGCAGGGTTGGTGATGACTGGCTTAGGGTTTTATCTGCAATAGCTGTACCTGTGACTGGGACATATGGCACTCAGCACATATTTGGTGGATGGTTGGATGGATGCATTTTGAATGAATGAATAAGTGAATGAATGAATATATTTGCTGTATACATAGGCTGCCTATCTGGCTTTTGCCCGTATGAGTATATTCCCTACTGAATATTTAGCTGTTCTGAATCCATGACTCAGTGGATGAGGTTGATTCTTTCCACTGCTTAACATTTGTTGATGATTGCGTGGTTTTCCAAAGACCATCATTATCTCTCCCCTGAATTAGATTGCCATTCTGTTGAATGGCAATTCAACAGAATGTGTGTATCTATGTGGTAGATACACACATAGGTTATGAACATTGACATTGTTTTGTTGGGAATTGGGTATAATCGAGGCTCAGAAACAGAACTTGTATCTCTGTGCTCATTTAGATGTTTTGATGTTGGCTATAATACTATCATAACCTGTATTCTTGGCATAGTTTTGACATTTATTTCCTTATAAGCGTCGGTTTATAGGAACAGCCACAAATAAATGATACAAAATTTAGAATGATGCAAAAAAAAAAAAAAAAGCCCATAAAAAAATAAAGGTATCCTGTCAACCTTTAATTTTTATTTTCTACCACTTTCCCCCTAAGGACCTGGGTCTTTTCTTCATCCCCTGTCTTGGAGTTAAAGTTTCTGGCTGCCTGTAAGTGTCAGCTGTCAGGTGTTTACTCACCCCCTTCCTTGTTTGGTTTTGGAGTAATTGCCCAGGAGGGATTTTAGTTCTTGCTCTTTAGAACTTAGAGTCTCTTCCCCATGACTTGGCAGCGATGGAGAGCAGAGAGCTTGTGGCCACCCAGGATAGGCATACTCATGGATTCATTTTTCACATGGGCAGGGGGAAATCTCTTCTCTTCTCCCCACACAACCATCTCTCTGTCTCTGTTTGGACCTTTTCTCCCAAACAGGCCTCGGGCCTGTTCCTTAGCACCTATTTCCCTTTTTATCCAATGACCTCTATCTTAAAAGCCACCACATTTGTGGGATTAGACTGCTTCTCGTGGTGCTGCCTTCTTCAGAGGGCTGAGTTACAAAGACAAGGTGCATTAGAATGAGGCTTTGAAAATGGGTGTATTTGTCCCTGAAGTATTAAAACATCATAAAATGAAATCTTGGACAGGTGGTGGAAACATTTTCCACACACTTTAATGACTATTTTTCTGCATTTTCTGTTTGCCTTCCTATCCATTGAGAACCTTCATCTGCCCTTCTGTAATTTAGGGACAATTATAGTGCCCCTGCAGCTTTGATACCTGCTTTTAGTTTATTTATTTTTTAAATTTTCTTACTGTTTTTTTTATTTTTGAGAGAGAGGCACACAGAGAGCAAGCAGGGAAGGGCAGAGAGGGAGTCACAGAATATGAAGCAGGCTGTGAGCTGTCAGGACAGAGCCCGATGTGGGGCTTGAACTCACAGACTGCGAGATCATGACTGAGATGTAGTTGGCCGCCCAACCAACTGAGCCACCCAGGTGCCCCAATACCTGCTTTTAGAAGTTCATTTTTCAGAAACACTTTTCCTTATTATACTCTATAGTCTTCATAGTTCATCTTTTAAGGAGATAAACTGTAATACGTTTCATCATCCTTCTATATTTATTGTTTCTCTTTTTATTTTCAATTACGTAAAAACGTATTGAACATTTTTCACATGTATCCTTTTACTACTTTAGAAAAATTTCCTAAGGGTAAGCTTCCAGAAATGATGTCGTTGAACAGTTTATGGCTTTCAATAAAAATGTAGCTTTACAAACAAATTTAAATAGAAGACTGCCATGAATCCTATGATTCTTGTATGGACACTTTATTCTAAAAGAGGAAGGTGTTAGCTGTTGGGAAGTCTTTTAAGTTGCTCAATTTGTTCACTAAATTAAACCTATAATTGTTAGTTGTTCTTTTTATCTGGTATGCTGTATCCTTTTAGGTTCATGTTAGCACATTTGACCTTGCTTTATTCTGTATCTGTCCCTTTCTTCTAAAAATTTTTTTTAAGGTTTTTTTTTTTTGT